GCGTTGCTTTTCGCACTGAAATATTAACAAACCAAGCATTTTAAATCCATATATATGTACTTATGATTGAAAATAACTTCACACACTTACATGTTTGCATCTTCGTGTCAACCTGACCAACGCGATATTCTGGTAAAATATCCTTAAAAATCTCAGTTGTTGACACGATCGCCAATCTGCGTACTGTTAAAAGATTTGGAGCGTCTGCCGCATTCGTCTCCTCCATCAACTCGAATAAGGCGTTGAAGTTTCGCATTTTATCCTCAGGTTTTTCTAAAAGGCCTGAACAAATGATGCCAATACGATATTTCTGACGCTCTATTTCTTGTTGTCGAGCAATGAGCAAATCCGTTGTGGAAATTAGTTTTTTCTTGAGTTCTGGTAAAGCGCTACCTTCACAAATCTCATTGACCACGTCATCATCGCTGTCTTCGTATTCAATGTTTTCATCTCCATCCACTTCCTCTGGCTCGGCTTCTTCGCTCCGCTTTACTTTTGGTTTGGGTATGTAATCCACTTCCGCACTTCGTGTGATAATATGACCATCACGGCTTTTGATTGGCAACAGATTGATTTTAACTTTTTTCTGGTCATTTTCCTCGACTGCATTGCTGGTATAGGCTTTTTCTAAACCAACAGATTGCTTCTCCTCTTCAACATCAGCATTCTTGCGTTTGCGTTGCTTATTCAAACCTTTTTCGTGCAAGTATTCCAAATCATCGCCGTCGAGCATATCAGCAATGTTCTCCACCACTTCGGAAGCATCCAATTCGTCATCATCATCATTGCCAAGTGGGTCATTATAATAATCATTTTTTTGCTTCTGCTTTTTAGGCAAATGTTCACGTTTTTTCGCTTTTTGACGGAAAATATTCTGCTTTCTATCCTTTGCAGCTTTCTGCTGGGCTATCTTATGTTGTTGTTGCTTGGGGAGTGGAGTCTTCTTCGACTTGAGATGCGCGTTGCGTTTCACGGCACTAATTTTAACTTTTTTCTAAGGGATATGAATAAATAAATATTAATGCTAATTAAAAAATCCTTTAAAGTAATTTATTACAAACCGTGCCCATTTTATTTGTAAGATTTTCTGAATTGAAAACAAAACACACGTGCGCGAGAGCAAAGCCGCATACAGTGCTGCCACCTTTGGGGAAATGTTAAAAACTTGTTACGATTATCCTCGAAACCTTGAGGGATTTCCCAAATATACTCGGGCTCGTATCGCTGGATTGTTAAATGAATGCTAACGATGACCGAATTGTAGTACAATTAACTTTATTGTACAA